TACCGTTAGGTACATGTTTTAATTCTGGGTGGTTGGCGGTTCCTCCTAGGCTAAAGCGGTAAATTCGAGTGGGTCACCATAAACTACTAAACACCGCCAGCGATTCCCTTATCGTCTCTTTCAATTTTTACAGGAAACTTTGGCTAATTCTTGTAGATACTTTTAAGATAACATATTAATAAATTAAAACAGTATAATTTAGTAACTACTAGAAAAATCTTTTAATTACTATTCATATATTATACTCTTTTCTTGTTTAATTTTAGTTGTTCTACTTTTTTTAATAAAATAATAATATAATAATTAATTGATAAAATTTTATATTTATTCTTAATTAATTTTTACTTAAATGAGCATTTATAATTATCTTCTTAAAATAAATGTAAAGTAAACATAAAAGTATTTAACAAATCTTAAAATAAATAAATAAATAAATAATTTTAAATACCCAATATCAAAAGGTAACATAAGTAAAATATGGAGTATTAAAAGTATTAACTAAAATTGCATGCAAAATGGAAAACTAAACTTGCCGTTTATTTCACAAAAAAGAATATTCTAATTTTTAAAACATTTTTTTAATTAGGACTTCCTAATTTCTTTATATCAACAAACTAGTACAAAGAATTAGGGGAAAAAGAAAGTATAGGAAATTCATTAATTGATCTAAGCTGTACCATGGTTAATTTCTATCACGAACCCATATCATTAAAGAGGTTATCAAATTAAAACTAACCAAATTAATTAATTTAATCATGGCAATCAAGATATATATATGTATGAAAAAATACATATCAATTTTGATTTTTAAAAATAATTACAGTTCCAATTTTAAAATACATCGTTTTATTTAATTAAAATTTAATTTAAATTTTAAAAAATTATCTTACTAAATATTGATATTTAGATTTAAAAACTGATTATATTATAATGTATAATGGGTTTTCAAATTTAGATATTACCGATTAATAAAATAAAATTTTAGTTTTCAGATATAAATTAAGATTTTAATTATTTTTTAAAATCGAGACAGATACGCACTAATCTCATATATATATATAATGTTTTTTCTTTTAGGTGTTTTTTATAAATTAAATTATTTCATGTACACTATATTAACCCATTATAAATTAGATAAAAATGAAAAATTAAATC